AGCAACTTTCAGGTGAAGAATATATTTTGTTAAATTTATATTGGAATTTTGACTCCAAGGAATTCATCCTTTTGGCTCTTTGGCTGGGAATGTTGAGATTCTTTTTTTTAATGTTATTTGTTTTGTTTATTTCTTTTAAGACAGAATCTCCCTATGTTGCCTAGGCTGGTCTTGAATTCCTGGGCTTAAGCCATTTGCCCTCCTCAGTCTCCGGAGTGGCTTGGACTACAGTTGTGCGCCACTGCACAGGCCCTGTATGTGAAGTTTTAAACCCCTAAAAGTGTTTAAGGGTTTGAGTTGTCATGGGACTTAATTTGAAGTTTCTTTAACTGTCCTTGCTTGTAGGAGAAATTTGCTTGTATTGAAATACACATTTGAGAAAATCTYAGAGTAGGCATCCAATTGGCCTGTTTTGATATTAATATATTTACTCGTGGTCAGATTCCAAGAATCCATTTATTTGGCAAAGTGTCAAAAATTCAGATGAATCCAAGAGATTATGAGCATTTATGATAAGCAGCCTTGGAGCAAGAGTAACCAAATGCCTTATCCGGTGCTCACTGCTGCTTAGTGGAAATATTTCTCCCATGCGACAAAGGTTAACATCTACACATACAGGATAGTGTTTACTTATTTACTCACTRACTCCGCAATTAGATTCGAATGCATACTTTGCTAGGCCCTAGAGATTCAAGTAGAAATCAACACCACTCTGACCTTGAGTTGCTGCCAATCAAGAGGATGAGACAGACTAGCTATGCTGCAGTAGAAATACTATGATAAGGATCTACACAAAATTGCATCCAGCCAAGTTTATATTAGTAACACTGTGTTGCTTTCATCAATGTCTAATCCAGTCATTAGTATTGAAAATAACAATATTTAATTTCTTTGCATATGCACCTATAACATTGAAGAGTGAACTCTCTCTTCCAACTGCCTGATAAGTCAGAATGCATTTTTAATTTTTATATGAATTTTTTCTCTCCCGTGGTAGTCATAAAAAACGAAATTCCAATGACTTTTTCCTAAACAACTAAGGACATAGAAATATCTTCAAGTCATAGTTACTTGCATTAACTGACCCCTAATGCAAATACTTAGTTCCAGTAGATTTTTTTGGTTCAACATTTAATTCAGTTTAGCCTTTCTTCATCCTTTCAGCCTCATTGGTAAGTTACTTTGCAGCAATTTTTTGAAGAGATTATATTTTTAAATGATTTTTTAAAACCTCTTTGTTAATGGCTATTAACCTTACACAGAATCTATGTTTGTACTTCTGTATAATTAGAAGGGCCAAACATTGAAGTTCTTAATTAGCCCAAATTTCCCAAAAAGCCAGTAGACCTTTTATCTACAGATCCCTTTAAAAGTGGACCACGCTTAAAACCAAACCCAGTAGATTGAGGAGATCGTAGTTTGGTCAAAATATTACCTACTCAAAAATATAAATGACAGAATTTCGCTTGCAATCCCAGAGTTAGGGTTTTGCATATTCGTTTTGAATAACTTCAGTGAAGTTAAGTGATTTGAAATTGAATGCACTAGGGTAAGCTGGTAAGACAGCTCAAAGCTATTGCAGGTCAAGGAAATCAGGGAAGTGGAGTCATCCCCACTTTCCAATCCCTTTCATTGTAGAAATGCCAGCACCATCGGACCCTGAGCGTGGCTGCATCTTGTTATATGTATAGAAGTTTTAAAATCAATTTGATTTCCACTGGCATGATTCTCTAGTGTACTTAATATGCTGTGGATGGATTTCTGAGAATAGTAAG